GGAGGTCTTCCAGTTCTTATCCTGCCAAGATAATGATCCACAGACACAACTGTCAGGCCAATACTTCTAGTTATGCTCTAGAAAACAATAACCTACATTCTTAACTGGAGTTCCCAGTTATCAGTTTTTAGAAAGAGTCAGGTAGTAGAAATAAATGTATTTGTTTCCTCTTATCCCAGTGAGTGCCACCAAAGGTCATGAGGTGCCAGGTGTGTGCAGAGAACCTGTCAGGAAACCATTGCTGTGTATGCTAAAAATAATTAGTGATTGAAATTAGCTGGTGTCTCTGCCTAAGCACTTACAAGCTGCTGGAATTATCTGATTCTTATACCTGTTTGTCCAGTGTCACCCAAAGAGCAGACAAGTTTCTCAGAGCAAAGTTCAAATATAATCTTTTTCCAGTAGGAAATCTGAGTTAAATGTTTCCTGCCTTCTCCCATGCTCTCTGAGCCCCCTGGAGCAGCTCATGTCACTGGTTCAGCCCAACCATCCTCCAACCACACTGAGTGGGCAGCACAGGAAAAAGTCTCAGTACCCAGGAGCAGCTTTGCTGCTGAACTGCACAGGGGATTACCCAGTAGTAGTTTGGGGTTTCCTAAATTAGTGCCATGAGTAATTCAATCAGGCTCAGGCAACAAAATGGAACTAATCCAAAATTCAATCCAACTCACTTTAGTAGCGAATTATATCTAAATTTTAGATGCCTTTTGAGCCAGTCCTTCTAAAATAAATCCCATATATAGCCAGGGGGAAAGCTAGGTGCCTTTGAGAGCCTCCTGAGGGACAGCCTAAATTGGACAGGCACAATCTCCCTCTGGAGTTGCTTTTCTAGGCATTTATCTCTCCCTATTGAACATGGAGGGAATTTAGGCACTTAATTTAAGAGAACTAGTTCACTCTGTGCTCAAAACATAGGTGTTAATTAGCTGCCCATGCCTGACTGGAAGTCCACCCGATTTAGAGTCTAAATAATTTATCTTAAAGACTAGCATTATGTTATGCCCTAGTAAAGTTTTTAAAAAGAAACAAACCAGGATGGTTTGTGCACTGCAAACGGAACAAGATTAGGAATGCAGTGAGAGGATATAAAATGGGCTGGAAGGACCATACCTTAGTTGCTGCTAAATGATCCTTGCTTTGCATATTTTGAAGTAGTGGGGTTGATATCAGACACTTTTGACTCTCCCAGTATCTCTCCCAAAGCACTCAAAAGCCCCACTGACATGCTTTTTGGAATGAAAAATTGCAGTAGCAGTACTGGGGTAAGAAAAACACCGTTTTCTGCTGTGCTGTTCCCAGAAGACTCATTTGAATTTAGAAGTATCTTACACTATGGATGAGTGTCTTCAGATGAGTTAGTAGTAGGGAATATCAGCCTCCACAGATTTCACATATCCTGCAATTAAAGGAGTGAGTGGGCTTCTTCTTTAATTAAAGTGACTCTTATAGAGAGAATTTAAGTTTCTAGAGACATTATGAGAATTTATGGTACCCACTGGCTAAATTAGTCCTGAGATCCTCCCATTTTCCCAGGCTGAGTCTGCACCACTTGATGTGTGTACAGATATTGGGCACATAAACCCCGTGCAGGATCGGCTCCTGCCCCCCATTGCTGCTCCTCCAGCACCCAGGGATGATGGGTGACTTCCCTAATTTCACTTTGCTTCCCTCATCTGCAACACACAGATAATACTCCTCAGCTCTGCGGTGGTGCCAGGCTTGATTCATGAATGTTTTAAGGCATTCTGTGATTTTCAACCTGAAAGGTGCTTGAGAACCATAAATTATTGGTTTAATATAGATCATAGTTTTCATCTCATAAATCTTTTATGTACTACTCCAAATTCATGCCTGATATAACTCTAATAACTTGAGCAGCATTAAGCGAGGGATAAATTTGGTACAGTATATGAGGCAGCAAAATGAAATTCCAAGGGCTTAACAAGTGGCATTTCTTACCGAGTAATGTCAGAAACCTACCCCACTGCCCACTTCTCTACAGAAAAAATATCATCTCATGGCACTCTAACTTGTTAAGTCTTAATTCATCATTAAATGTCTGGTTCACATCAAAAGAGTATTTTTCTAATATTTTCTGCTGCTATACATAGGTAGTTTGTGTTTCTTGAGAATTAGTAGATGTGGTCATGTTTTTGCAGTCTGTTTTGACAAAACTATTTGAGTTGAAAGCAGATTAATTTTTCACAGGAACCAACCTTTGAATAAGACATTCCTACAGCTTCTAGTCCTTAGCCATGAGAGCATAGGACACAGGACTAGGAGGGATCCTCTGGGTCACATTCACATCAGAAACAGCAATGCCGAAGGCTTGGCAACAGCCATTTTAAAAAGGTGGGAATTTTGTCCCCCTACAGTAAGAAAAAAATACTGTTCATGCAGTTCATTGCTGTGATAGTTGAGTTCTTTTAATTCCCAGACCAGATGTTCTCATGCCCAGTTTAGAACTCTGTTATCAGGCCAACATTTCTCTATAGCTGAAATAACTTTGCTCCTCCAGTGTCATCTGACCACTCTCCAAAGGGAGAGTGTACATGAAGAATAACTACATTCCTATTCAATCTTCATTTTGTTAGTCTAAGCTAGTCAAACTCTTTTAGTCTTCCTTTAAAATGTTATAAATCTAATGAACACAATAAAGAAAATTCTAAGGATGTGACAACTATCTTTGAAAAGGAAAAAAAATTATCAGACCTCACACTTCATTAGACCTTGGTAAAATTCAGATCTTTATTAAGTCTTGTCTCTTTCCTCTCCATGACTCTGATTCTTAACATTATTTCTGCTCTTCCCAGAGTTTATCCTCTGACCTCTGCAGCAGGTTTGGGCAATAAACTGCCTTTCCAGTTGGTCTTCAGATTTTCTATTCTTCACTGGCTGCAATGAGTGATCTTGGGTACTTTGGTTCTCATAATCTTTCTTCATTTCATCCTTCCCGCATTCTTTCCCATTGAAGAAAATTTCCATGGAATGTATTTGGAAACTTGATAAGAATCTGAATCTTATGTGATAATGTATCCTATTGACAGTCTTATAGATACAGAAACAGACTATTTCCTATGAAGTTTTTATATTTGCACAGATTCCTACAGAATGTCTTCTTTCTTCCCTCTTCTCCCTCTCCAAATGGTCTAGGATTTTTCTTTATGCTGTGTAAATGCAAAAAGAAAAATATATACAAGCAACTTTTGCTGATACCGAGATAAAAATTTAAAATACTAAAGGTAGTTTGGAAAAGACTCAACTCTTAAGGCATCCACATGTTTTTCAAAATAGTAATGAGTAAGGACTGTCAGCAAATCATAAAAAGAAAAAATTAGGTCTGCTTAAGTCCTAAATACCACCGTTAGGTAAATTTGTAGACCTGGGGATAATGGAAAACAAAGATGTGCAGTGGATATAAATGCAATTTCCAATCAAGTGTTGAGATTTACCAAATTAAGCAGGTGCCTTCTGTGCATTGAATGAGACAGCAACCTGGACAGGCAATCCAGATTTAAACCCCTCATGATTAATTCCCTGGTGAGGTATGTCTGCAGTCTGGGTTTAGCACATGCACATCTGGAGTTTGGGACAGCATCACTGCCAGCTTTCTAAATTCAGATCCCACATTTGCACGTTGGGCTGCACTCAGCTGGGCAGGCAATCACTCATCTGTGTTCCATGGTGCTCATGGAAACTGGTGTTTCAATGCAATATCTCAGGTCCTGGGCAGATGCACTCGTGCACACACACAGCAAGTCAGTGTTAGATATCAGCTTAAATCTTTGATCCATCAAAATAATGGGCTTGTTATTTCAATAGCTCCAGTATTTTGCTGCAGCTTTGCAACACAGAAATCAAGTACTGAACAGCAGTGAATCTAATCTGGTTTGCTGTAATAACTTTAGAGATAATCCTGCTGCTGGAGCAGCTCAGGGCCAGTGTTTAACAAATATTAGGATGAGTAAATACCATTTTTGGCCAGTGTTAGTCCATGTTAGCATCCTAAATTTAAAAATTCAGACATATCTGAGAGAAAATTTTGAAAATTCAACAATGGAAAAAGAGTTAGAACAAAAGGTGAAGAAGAAGATGGAGAGGATAAAATAAAGCTGAAAGAGCTCCAGACAAAAGCAACAGTGGGAAAACATTTTTTCAGATAAAGAAATTAAGATACTAAGATAAAGTAAGTGCAGGGCACACTGTCAGATATCCCTCCAGCTCAGCTTAGGTCTTGATCCTCTAATCAGAGATAGATGGCAAAGACGAGGCTTTTATTTCTGAGACTTGCACAGTTTTAAATTCCTAATGCATTAAATAGCCTGGAATACAGAGATTTCTGTCAGGTAGCAGAACACCAGTGCATTCATCCAATTAAAAATGGAAAACTGCTCATAAATAAAAAAGTGTTGTATGAGTCTTCCCACAGTCAGAACTCATGCAGAAAGTTCATACACTCACCAGGCTCCATCCACTGTCATTCACATGTCGTTGTATGACAGACAAGTATTTCCTGTCTCTGCAGGTTATTGTTTAATGGGCTAATGCTTATTTGCAAGATGAAATGCTATTGTGGAAGTTCTGTGGGGAAGGATGTTACTTGTGAGGAAAAAAAAGGCCACTTCCAAAAAAAGAAAAGCCCTGCTTAGCCTCCTGGTGATAGAGAAGGGCAACTTCACCATGGATTTATGGATTTAAAGGGAGCTGCATCAGGCCCTGTAACTTTAGCCCTATAAGCAATAGTATGCAATTACTGCTGAGGAAAAATCATCTTGCTGCTTTATTTTTTGTGTGATGTTTTAAATTGGAATATAATTTTGCCCCAAAAGAGTAACTAAACCGTTTTTTATTTTAATCCCAGCGCTATCTGTGCATCATCTAATTGCAATATCTTACTCTCACAATTAAAAATAAAGCACATGATATTGTGAGAATATATTTTATTTCTGTAAATTCTGCATCCCAAGAGCACTCTGTGACCTGGGGTTCTTTGTTGCTAGCTGGTGAATGAGCAACAGGAGAGCAGACCCCTCCTGAGCCCCTCCATTGATGACTTTCTCTGTGAAACTAAGCCAGAAGCTGTTGCAAGGCCTGTAACATCGAATACTGCAGGTAAACAACATTCTTTACTATCCCTCACTAGAGAAAAATAATTTTAGTTTTAGTTTTAGTTTTTTAGTTTTAGTTTTAGTTTTAGTTTTAGTTTTAGTTTTAGCTTAATTACAGCACATTTTTGTCAAGTGATTTCTTGGTTTGTTACTGTGTGCACAAAATCACAAACTGGCATTAAATTATAGTTGCCTGACCCGTTAGAAGAAAAACTTTGTTTATTACATTTTAGGGGAAATCTAATGTGATTCAAATCACATCAGTTCTAGCAGATCTTTGGGACTGAAATTAATGCAATTTGTTTAAGTCTCACGGTGTACATACAAATTTGAATCAATTCTCCGTATTTGGTTTTGCAAAATTTTAACCTATGGGAAAAGCCACATTTAGTCTGTTTTTTAATCAAATGCATTCCTTACTCGGAAAGATTTTTTAAAATGAAATTTTGGATGAGATGTTAGAGAGAGAAAGGCAGTGGTATCAAAACACTTCACCCAGGCTGATTTCAGACACTTCATTAGTGAAAGGATCTCATCTATTTCTTACTTCCTTTGTGTTGCAGTGGGGTACTAGAGAAGGTAACAGAAACAAAGAGTAAATCCTGAAAACCTTTTGAATTCTACTGAATTCTATTTGAAGTATATTGTCCTTTGGAAGTATTTTTAGAAATTAGCCCCCTCCTACTGGGTATCTGTGCAAGGTGATCGATGCTGTTGAGCAGATCAGCAGAGAAATAATAATATCAGCACAGCACCACTGTGGTCTCTTGCTGTCTCATAAAAGGACTTGGCTTGTTAGGAGCCATTTAATTAAAATGTATAAATTATTAATTGAATAATTGACAACTGAGTGATTATCTTGACATCTAATTAATATGGGTTTAAAGCAGCATGCAAGTTCTAGTAACAAAAGCTGAAATACTGAATTAGATAACAATTGTAAGTAATATTTTTTCCCTTTAAAAATATAGCTGAAGATATTACAGGGATGAATAGAACTATTTCAGATTGTTTAAGAACGGTGTTTGTTTTAAAATGTACCTGTAAACTTTACACCTGCCTTGAATATCTGTCAGATTGGGGTGGGGGTGTTAATTAGATTTATTTAATAATAATAAAACAAATAAATTATTCTATGAAGATTGAAGAAATTCAGTGATTTCCAAAAACACAGATAAAGCACTGCAAGAGATAATGCAAACTGATTTGTCAAAAACACCTTCCATGTAACACGATGATAATGAAGGGGTTTTTCTACCTTTTACATGCTAAAGAATTGTGAATGTTACTTTTTAGACAAATTTTAAAAGAAGAGCTGAAATTGAACATTCCTTTCATACTGATCGAGTCCTTAATAGAAATAGCATTAGACTTTATATTCAGTATTTATGGCCCAAAGGACCAACACCAACAACAGTAGAAAGCATTAATAAACATTTTCATTCCTTTATGACCCAGCTCCACCCTGGGAGCTGCCTGCTCCAGCTATTCCCGAGTGGATTCCCAGCAGCACTGCCCTAAGCAGCTGTTAGCAGGACTTTACAAATCATAAGATTAAACCAAATCTTATCTAAAAGCTCTCTTGAACAGGGAGCCCTCACAACAGAGAAAAATCTGTGAAGGCCCCAGCCTTAAGACCTCACATGTCTTTAAGATTTTCAGAGGAAAAGCCTTTTTTGAAAATCCACTAAACTGCATTTAGTTAAGCACTTGAAATCCCCAGGCATATTTTAATATACTGGTCAGCATCTTTAGCCAGGAAATAAGCACCTCCTCTAGCCAAATTCAAACGCATAATTTTTTCCCCAATTAAAACATCTTTAAAAGTGATCTATTTGAATTAAATCTACATTGAATTTTAACATTTTGTCTCTAAGTATTATCAACAGGTCTGGATCTCTTGGATCTTAGTGAACCTGTCTTACAAACCCAAAATAAAGCAAAGAAATCAGAGAATCCTTCAAGAAGTGAAGGCTTAAAAGCTTCAACCCACAGAAAGAAGACAGAGAATCCTGACCTGATCAGTGTGGATTCTGAGCAGAAAGTCCAGGCTGCCAGAGTTGCAGACAAGTCTTCTCTAGATTTAGGTAAGAGTGTAGCTCTTTCATCAGTGCTCCATAGCCCTGCTTGGCACAAGTTTCTCCTGGCTACTATCACAAAATTATAAGCAACACCAGAATTTTTGCTGCACCACATTTAATCATTATATATATTCAGGTCCCCATTATAAACTACTTGAAGCACTTTAAACCTTAAGAGCTGTGCACACATTTTACATTTTGCCTTTGCTATTATACCTATTAAGTTGTCACTAAGTGTGCTAATAAAATTTTGAAATTTCTTTGGAAAAAGGAATTTTGTCAGGGTGTGTGAAATGGTAGAAAAATCTCAAGGGGTGTGATGAGAAATTGGTAAAGGACACAAATGAGAGGCAGCCCACATTGATGTCCTTTTCAGAATTGCAGGTGCCAGAAATATACATTTATATTTGTAAATACTGCTTTATCTATGCATACCAGAGAAAAAAATCCATTCTTGACAGGAGAGATATATTTATACAGACTGAAAAAAAAATCCCTAAAACAACTCAATATCCTGCCAAGCCTGATCAATTGACAAGCTCTGGAAAAGGTGAATTTGATTTAGTTCCATCCAAACTAAATTACTTGCAGTGCAACTGAGAAATTTGCAAGGTAAATGTAATTTATACCGAGGCAGCAAATTTTCCATTCATCAGCACAGAAATTCTTTTAGAGACCTTTATCTTCAAACAGGAGCTGAACATCTGCTCTTTGCAAAGTGAGTCTGACACAACTGAATAATATCAGTTGCCTACATAGTCATTTTTACATGTTAGTCTCTAAGAGAAGCTTCATTTTTACAATTTGTCTAAATTACATACAAATCACTGATTTTAAGTCTAGAGTTACACTGATATTCTGACCATGAATGCTAACAGATTTAGAAAAATGTTGTGAATTTCCAAATATTTTCACATCATATCAACTAGAAAGGTGCACAATGTTGGCCTGTATGTTAGACCTTTATTAAAATACAGGCTTTAGTGGCATTATTTTCTCTATAACACACATTTAACAGAGGAGATAAAACTGTCAAAGTAGTTTCTTTAAAAGATTCATATTTATCTATTCTTTATTTTTCAGTTGATATTCAGACACAGATAGAGAAATGGGATGATGTCAGTTTTCATGGAGACAGGAGTAGCAAGGTTCACCCTTCTGCAGAGCGAACATCATCATCATCCAGAGCTCCATCAAAAGAGATTTTATGGTACAACTTTTTACTTTCCTTAAAAAAAATATTTCCAGCCCGGCTTTCTTAATTCACAGAAATGCTTGCTTGATAACAAATCATATTATTAAACATGTTATGATGACATTAAATGTGTTCAAGAACATATTTTGAACAATGTAACATAAGCAAGCGCACTATAAAATGCCATTTTGCCAGCAGTTTTTTATGTTGTGGAAAGTAGCAGGCACAATTACTTAATAAATGGTGGTGAGAACTCTACAGAGACATGCAGTGAAATCCTTTATTGTGGTGGTTGATTTTTAGACACCTACTGAGGCCCAGTCTTGTGGCTTTATCTAGCCTCAGCTTCCCTGTCTATGAAATATAGGAGTGAGAACACAAAGAGGAGTCCAGGCATTTTGATAACTGCAAGTTAAACAATTCAGTTGAAAGAAATAACCTAATTCATCATTGTGTGATTGAAAGACATAGGGCAGAGTGTTCTGGTGCTGAGTGTGTAAATGCATTATTTCTAGGTCCACAGAAAACAGATCACAGTCTGAGCTGAATAATGTCAAGAGTGCCTTGGACTCTGATTCAGCATCAGAATTAGAACTTGCACCTGCAATACAGGTAAGAGGATTTGGTAGATTTGTTAACAATAAAAAGGCAAGGAGGAACTTCCCACTGGCTAGCCATTGACGTTCTGGGAGAATTATTCAAGGGATATTTTCAGGATCATCAGGAAAAATATCTTCACACACCTCTGAAATGGATAGGTTCTGAAATTAAGAGTGAGCATCTGAAACATCCAGAGTTTAATACTGCAGTGAACTGTGGCCTTCCTGTACAGAGGGAAAACTTCAAACTACAGCTTACAGCCCCATCTTTTTTCCCTTCCTCCAGTTCTGAAATTCAGACTTCTAGTGGTTCCCTACCCATGTTAAATATCTATCCTTTAGGTCTCTTGGTCAGGCAGGAATCCCCAGAATTGGGAAATTGCTGAGGAAAGCAGGAAGCAATCATTACACCAATGTTCATTAGCAGTTTATCTCCACAGGTGGGGGAGCAGTGTGGTCACAGGACTTTTTCCTGCTGGAAAAGGAACTCTAATACGGAGGGCTCTGGGCTAAAGGTTTGTAGATTTGCCCAATTCCACTGTTGTATTGTGTCTTGGACAGGTCTTGTTGGAAATGATTACTGAGGGTTGCATGTATGTCTGCACATACAGGTACAAATATTTATATATGCATTGCAATAGAGCAGGTTGTTCACGCACCTTCTTTGCTGCTTCTTACTTTTTAATTGAAAGATTTCGGGCATTGCCACTGGAAGGGGAAGAGAGAGTTTTCTCGTGGATTATCTTTTAGTTGAAAATAATTTTCTCACCTTCCACAGCTATTTTTAGGCCTGGACTTTAAAAACTTTCTGACAGACAGAAAATCTGGAAATTAATGAAAAATAATAGCCTCATTTGAAAATGGAAAACTGAGACACTACTTGCCAAATGTGTATCCTGAGAAAAGTAGAAATAGAACCCAGTTATCAGATCCATTTTGGGGCTTTTCTTAGGAAAAAACTGTCCTATCTCTACATTACAAACAGGGGGTTTTTCCCTCTGGAAAGCCTCACATTAGTTGTAATGCATGATATCTTTCCTTTCTCTAGAATAGATTTGTACATCTTAATAATGGAAAAGATCTATTACACAGTGCCATCCACTTTAAACGGATGGTGTGTTCTCATGTGCTTTGTCCAGCTCATTGAAGCACCTCTGACCCGTTTTTAGGAAGGTGTTCCTCAGCCCAGTAGATCTAAATTCCAGGACATTTGTGCTCAACCGAGATGTATGTAAGTCAAGTAGACAGTCACAGGATTCAAATGCTGTGGCTTTCTGTAAAAGCAATTTACAAATGCAGTTTATGTCTACTTTATATGATCCATTTTCTTTTTTTCTTCCACTGCAGAAACAAAAATCCACATTTTTCACTCAGTTTAAGTTCAGTCAGTTGAGGCTCCATAATGTTTTGTAAAATGACTGATACTTCAAATTAAAAAACCATGAATTTGAATAAGCCAACCTGAAATAAAAGCAGAGAATCTTATCTGTTGTCTTGGTACAGTTTGTGTTTTGTTTTGGTTCGTTGTTACCTGCTTGTTTCAAACTTGTGGTACATTTGAGCAACAAAATATTAAACCAATAATTATTAACACAGAGAAAGTGAAGTGAGAATGTGTTCTTATTCGAGGTAGGTTACTTGGAAATGTGTTTTTGTTCACTGCCTGCTTCATCCTGCTCGTACTTGGACTGTCAGAGTTGTCAGCTCCCAACACACAGGCTCATCTGTCTTGACCGAGTTCTTAATCTGCTTGCAAAAGAAATCACATTAGGGCTTTTATCAAAGCATATGTTTTCCATACTTTGTCCTCTATAGGTCTTGTCTATCTCATTTAAGGGTAACCTTTGCAAATGCAACACATTCTGCCATACCCTAAAGATTTCATCTTGTCAAACTTGCTGCAGTTTTCCATCAGCAGTTTCCCAATCACCTCATCACTCACCTTTGCCACGTCAGATTTAGCTCCTCAAAGTGAAATGCTAAGTAACTAGGTCATATTTTCATTAAAATTATGCAATCTTCTTAACAAAATCCTTTGTTTACCAGCACTTGTGCCAATATAAAATCCAAAAGACAGGCTTTGAACTATGAAGGAAGAAATGTTTTTGAAGGCTGTAATGGGCAGTGGCCACTGGTGGCTGTCACTGGATATGGCTGTCTGGCTTCTCATCATTTTCTCACATCATATTTTACATATTATTAACTCTTAAACTGCATTGGCCCAAAGAATCCTTGATCTTTCTTTTATCTGCCATTCTGAAAAGTTCCTTGTTATGCTTTTATTGGTACTGAGATATCCTACAGTGTTTGGGGGAGGGGAAGAGGGATTTTGAAGGTTTATTTTTAATCTTAAAATTATAAATTGCAGAGGGAGATAATATGTTCCATTGTCTATGCATAAAGTCTGCTCATTTTTTAACTCTTTAAATATTTTCCAGGGCATTTTAAATATTTCACTGCTCACACAGAGTATACAAAACCCCTGATATGCTAAAAATATGTACCTAATTCTAATATGTAAATGCTCTTAGACAAAGTTGTAGTGCAAATCTTGTAAAACTTAGAAATCTCCAGTTTGAGGCAACAATATTCAGAATGTGAAATTAATTCCCCACTTCTCCCAAATAGCTACAGAAAGACTAATGGCCCTAACTTCCCTTGGATGTGCCACTTACTCTAAGGAAATGAAGAGTTGCAAGGGACAGACTTAGCTCATTGTTTGAAGACTTGATCAAAAGTTAAGACTGTAATTTAAGCCTCTCACCAAGTTAAGGTCCAGCAGCACATAAGGAGAATACAAGCCCAGGAAAGTGTGTGCAAATGCATTGGAATGGGAGGTTTTGTCCCTGAGCACAGAAGTCACGATCAGCCACAGCACGTCCATTGCACAGAGGTGAGAATATATCAAATATATTCTCACCACAGTGTGCAGTGTCCAGCCTTGGACACAGCCTGACCCACCTTGGGAGGCAGCTGCAGCCCCCACCCCATCCCCTGGGGCAGCTGGGCAGTTCTCCAGTCCTGGCACTCCACTCCCATCCCCTCTCTCTCTGGACTAGCAAAAAGCAGCGAGTTTGGGGCTTTTCATGGGGCTTTTCACTTCTGGGTGTCACAGCCCACAGTATGACTCTGCACTGTCTATTGCAATTTCAGCTTTTATTAATAACCTTTCTTTCCCTCCTGGTGTTCATTTAATGGAATCCCCTATTTCTGTGGGGATGATGTAGGGACAAAGTGTCATGTGGCAGGGAAGGGGACCTCTGTGCTTCTTGACCTCTTCCCCCTCACCTCTGTCCTGCCTGCAGAAGCTCATTCTGCCCTTCTCAGCACAGCTCAGTCTAAACATCCTCATTTACAGGATTCTCCTTGACCTAAGGAATAGCAGTCACTGGAAACAAATGGGTAAAAAGCAGAAGTAATCAAACAGTTTGCAGGAGCCAACTCATAAATAATGAAAAGGCCAGGAACATAATTAGAGCCTATCAACAGAGTCCTGTGTCAAGAAAAACAAATTTAATTCTTTGATCAGATTACAGGTCAAAATGATAAATGTTGATGTGTGATATTTTACAAGAGTTTTGAATTAATATGTCATATTCTGATTGTAAAATTGGCATCACACAGTGTGAATAAAGTATTTGTTAAACAGATTAAAACTGGCCAACCTGAGGTCTCAGGAGCAGTAGTTATTTACTAGGAATTGTAATCACATACTGATTGTTCTGGGATTCCAAAGAGAAACAATGTTCTTCAGTTTTATTGATCTGAAAATAAACACACAAGCCAATTCCTCAGAAAATTTCCATATGATGCAAGAGTGGAATCAAAAAAATGAAAATAAGGTTTATGGTAAAAGGAGCTGGTGATCAAGGCATCTGTATAAATACGTATTGCAATACAGTCCCTTGGAAAATCACGAGAGCAAGAATGCAGGCCCTACTTACAGCACCATGCTGGAAAGCAGTTTGAAACAACAAGAATGTTCCCTGTGCAGTACTGAGGGAAGAGGAGTGTGTAGAAACAAACAGAGACAGGAGATCACCTGGTTAAAAGGTTAAAATTTGAATGTTTCATATTAAGAATATTTATTATTGCGATGCTTTTATATCATAAAAATCTTTATATCACTAAAACCTGATTAAAATCATTAGTATCTTTCTACAGAGAAAGTAAGTAGTATTAAAAAGCATGGAAAAAAAAGAAGTAATAGAGGAAAATAGAGGGAAACTGAAATTAAAATTAATAAGAGAAGCAAAGAGGACAGTTAAACAAATTGCAAAGAAAGTGATGACATTAAGGTCTCTTGATAACTTTAAATTAAACCCAAGCAGCTTTCTCAAAGACATTTATTCCAGACAACCTTAGTTTATCCTCTGAAGAATGTCATTTTGGTTCCATGGGTGTTGAGTGACAAATGCCATCATGTGATGATACACAGACAAATGAAGGATCTGAACCAGTTATCTCTTCTGCCCTAAATTCTATTAATCAGTAAAATAACTGCTTCATGTATAGGACTGGGTTTTGGTTTGTTTTCAATGACAACCTGAAATCTCTTCCTGGCCTCACCAAAGGAAAACAGTCATTTTCCAGACATGGACTAGAGGCAGAAGGTGTGAGAGCAGAAGCAATAGATCCTCAGTGTAGACATTCCCTCACACTCTGAGTTTCCTGTCAGAGCAAAGTCCAGAGGCCAGCACAGGGGAACACACAGTGCCCACCACCACCACGAGCTGCTCACAGAAATTGTGTTGTATCGTTGTTTTTTCTCACCTTATGTGTTTCCATTCAATGTGCCTTTCACTCATTGCTCTCTAAGTGAGAGACCAAAGCCTCAGGAACAAAACAGAAAACCTAGGGCCCATTTGACAAATGAATGCCATCTTTCTAGGAAAAAAGTCATGTGTGTACAACCAGAGAAATGTGTCTGACCATACATTACATGTGACATGCATGAGAGCTCAGAAACCTGTCAGATGTCCCATCCCAGCAGTGCCCATTCCAACATTTGCAGAGACAGCCCAATGAGTCTGATGTGATCAAAATTAGCCTTTAGCAGTGTGGCTCACAGAAATTGAATATTACAAGTACAGTCATCAGAAATATAATCAGGGGAATTAATGCAATTGGAAGCACGGGCACACAAGTGGCTAATGAGTTTAACCTCCTGACAAACACTAGGGAAGGGATTAGCAGTCAGAGCTTTGTTTAGCAAGATTAGGCCACTTTGTACTTTTTCTGCCATCTATAAATATGGTTTGGTTCTGTATAGTGTTTTTTGTTAAAAAAAAAAATATCAAAACAAAAAACCCCACATTGTTTTTAGAAAAAGAACAGGGAAAAAGTTATTATGTGCTTCTAGTGGGATTCACCAATTGTATGGTACATAAGAGAGGTGCTGATTGTAAAAAGGATTTTCCCTTCCAGTGGAATCCTGGCCCTCCAATGTGATCCCAAAAAAACTGAAAGAAAACCACAAAATGTGCAAGGGAAAAAAAATGGGTTTTTTTTCCTAGATCATAGTCAGTGGAATGCATTCCCACAGTCATAATGCAGAAGGAACAAGGAAGGTAGAAGTCTTATACAAAATAGTCAGCTCTCTCCTTTTGTAGTCCAACCCTTGCTTTGCCTTTTGTCAGATGTCTTTTTATCTTTCACACATCTTGAGTGAAAAGAAAAATCTGGAAAAGATAAATTATTCTGTTTCCTGTGAGAAGTGGTCTCTGCTACAGTGTAAGAGAATTCAGAGGAATTCATGCAGGGAAACAAGTAGTTTTCCCCAGAAAAAGGCCATCTGGGGCTCTAGACAATTAAGGAAATAACTCAGAAGTGTGACAGAGAGTCTATCATCCCTTTCTGATTTATTCTTTTATTTTTTTAGGCACGGCCAAGTAAGGAGCAGCGTTGGGGAACACCTCTTCTCTCCAGAAATCACTCCTTGGAGGAGGAATTTGAAAGAGCAAAGGCAGCTGTTGAGGTATTATTTCATTTACTGTTTTCATTTTCAGCTGATGTTCTACAGATTTCTTTTTCATCTTGGAGCACAAGCAGAGGAGAGAGTTGGAACTGGATTACTTAAAGCAGAGAAATGATGCAATTTATGCAGCTATTAATTTAAAATAGCAGCTTGTCTCTTTAAAAAAAGGAAATCCAAACCCCTTAGCTATTAAAAAAACATTAGAGAGAACCAAGTTTTTAAGATGGATTTTTAATGCTGGAGCAAATGGGTAAATGCCCCATAAATGTAGCTAACTCCAAAGCACAGGTAAAAGGAGGGAAACATTTCTCACCAGCAATTGTGTGCCATCAGTTCTTTAAGCCCAGACACAAACCAAGTCTCCACTGTGAAACCAGAGCTCAGAATCACTGCATTCTGCACAATTACCTGGTGTAAAGCAGAGCTATACCTAAGCACCAACCGTTTTCACATTTTTACAACTAGTGGCAGAATGCTAAGCACAGGAGTTTTCTTGTTTCCTGGTGAATCTATTTGGTTTGAAAAGATGAAGGTATTTGGATAGTTCTCTTTTGCACTTCTGGGTTTTTTTCACTAACTTCTACATTTCCAGCATCTAAAACATCTCTTGAGTGTTGTCCTATACCACTCCTCCAAATTGATCCTGTCTAGACACAAAGTAGAATACAGGTTTTTTTAGCAGAACTCAAAAAATTAGATATAAGCATTGACCTGGAGCATCATTATCTTCTCAGGGGTTCCATGGGCAAACCCTCAAAATCCCATCACCACAAAGAGCCAGGACAGCTCCATTCCAGCAAGGACAGAATTTCAGGCTAAATTATGTAACAGCCTGTGAAATGAGTTCTTAGGGTACAGAGGATGAAACTGTGAAACCAGTTCCTCAAAACTGGTTATTTTTAGCATGGACTGCAGGCTCATTAGTCTACAAACCATCTAGAACACATTAGGGATGTTTGAGTTTAGATTTAAATTTTAGGCATGTATTTTAATACTCTCCTAACTCAATTTTTATGCCATTCTAATTCCAGTGTTGTCAATTGAGCTATTCTAGATTAATATTGGCTGATGAGAAGCATAACAATGCCTAAATCTGATACTGGTTTCTAGCTAGAAAGATAATTTCTTGTAGAATTAATTAAAATTATTTGTAGGTTTTATCATTGTATGCTATGGTAAGATGCAGAGTTTCTACCATGGTTTATTGGGATTTTATTACATACACAAAAAAATCTGGTCTCAGCATACAATGCTGAAACGGACACAATCAGTAAATTAGCTCTTTCATAAACTAAGCACAGAGGGCATTTTTTCTTTACAGAACAAATAAATTCTTCATAAAGAAATGCTGGTGAGGCACAGGAGATGTTTTTGAGGTCACACATCATGCACATTTGCTCCTGGCAGGCAAGGAGGGAACTTTGGTTCAAATTGCCACAGCTTAGAATGTTTTAGATGCTCCTGCTTGCACTGCAGGCTGATCCTCAGGGTGGGATGAGCTGTGCTGTGACCTGTGCAGGCAGCACAGGGAATCTGATGCTGAACATCTCGGTGCTAGTGGTTAAGCAAATGATGTCAGTACTGCTGCAATTGCCAGAAACTTGTGTGATGGGGAGTTTCCAGACACTCAGCAGGAAGAAAAATGAGTTGAGTCCAACAACAGATTACAAGACATTATTGAATTACTTTGCAGAGTAAAGTAAGGAGGAGAATGTATTGTTAAAAAATTAAAAAAAAAAACCCCACCCTGCAGACTAAGAGGTCATTCTGAAGCAACAGAGACAGGTTGTTAAAATACTTTAAAGTAGTCTCAAAAATGGCTATTAAAAAGAATCAAATTAAATGTTTCCCCAACTGTAGCTGGCAGCCTTAAGTTATTCTTTCTGCTTAAAATAGAACCTTGGGCCTGGTAGTTATAATGTAAAGGAAAGGATTCTTCAGGACTTCATAGAGCAGTTGTTTCTATTTGCATATGAAAAGAGCTGAATTTTCATCCCAGCTAAAATGAAGTGGTAAGAAAGCTGGAGTGATTGAAATAAACTGGAGTCCATGTCAGAAAGATTAGTGCTTTCTTAAGCAGAGAATGGATACAGGTCAAAAAATAATTTTTTAGGCTTTGGATGTTTCTGTAATATTCTTCGATTGGGAAAGCTCCAAGTGGAAAGATTAGCCACAAAACTGATCAAGAAAAGGAAGTAAATCTCAGGTTCTTTGTGGCCTAGTTCGAAAGGAATTAATTAACAATTCAGTAAATGAAGACACCAAACTTTATCCTCCACCCAGTATTCACTTCAGAGCTTTGGGAATGGTTTTAAGATGTCAAACTTCGAGATTAATGAAGATTTGTGAGGTAATTCTTTCTTAAGAAGGTTTAAAGATGTCTATGCCATTGGGGAATCTTTTAAGAATAAAGTGGTGAGTAAAATACCTTTTTTACTAGAGAGGGTCCAGATTCCCTTGCAGTGTTTGAGTGCTTGCAGACCTCGCTACCTTTAGTTATTCTCGAAATTGAATTTGATTTTTGCCTCATGATTTTTTGTCTCAACAATTTCCAAGTGCCATAAGAACTATGTTTTAACACAATCTTTCTAATAATTAGCTGTTTCACCAAAAATTGGTACTTTTGAATTTTTAAGAAGCGCCAGGATGGGAATTCACATCCATCCTGTACTTATACTCCATTAAAACAATTGTTTTATCAATCACCATCCTACTGGTGATGAGTTAGAATAAATAAAAATAAAAGCAAACTTCCAACTGAGAAGTCTCAGAGATGGGAAAAAAAGCTGCTTTGTTACTTTCTTATTCACATTTCTCTGATTAAGCTGCAGATGCCACAGTGTTTTGTGAGTTTATGCATAAGAAATTTTGAGCTGTCCTTCCCAGCATCATTTTATTTACAACACAATGTCACATGAACCATCTGCTGTATAATGTACTGCTTTGAAGCATCAGAGCACATTACAGCTAAATTATGTGACAATAGGAGGAAAAAGATGGGATTAATTTGTTCTAGCCTAGGAAAACATATTCCAGGACCATCAGCTTTGTGGTTCCCATGAGTACTGGTTGGAGTCCTTTCTGTACCTACAATATTCCTGTCTCACTATTTAGACATTTCTTTGGATGGGCCTAAAACTGGCCCATCCATATTTTAAATTAGGAACTAGGAACTTGAGTCATTCAGATGCATTTTATTTGATACTCTTGCAAAACACTGTGGGAATCTTTGCCTTGATAAACATTTGTTATGTCTAAACCTTAGGAAATTTTGCAGATTTTGTTTCAAGAAGATATCAGCTAAGGAAATCTTACCCAGTTGAGCACACAACTGTAACTTACTGTGTCTTTCACATCAAAGAGTATGGTAATGCAGTAATTCAGAGAAAAATGACAGAACCTTTCTTATGCATTGGACACTTAGGAATATTGCAAATTAATTTTTGGCAATACAGGACAGGCAAAATTCTAAAAGTTATGACAATAGGTAAATTTATAAATACATCCTCCTGCCTCCTTTCATTGGATCATAGGAAATAAAGAGCCCAAAATATTTTGCTTCCCGTTGTTTAACTGCTTCAGCATATTTTTAAATACTAAGAGTAAAAATAGCCTCTTTGACAAAATGCGGAATTTTCTGCTTGGAAGCAGTCAGATGGTATGAACATTTTTCCTGGTTGTCATTCCTCTTAACTGCAGATGATCTGAGAATGTGTTAAATGTGTTCAACTGGTCTGAAAACTTTTGGTTGGTGCAAAGTATTTCACCAGCCTTAAGGTGGCAAAAACATTGAAATGAGGTTAATTGGCACCAGTGGTGTAGCAAATAGAACTAAAATTAGATCTAGGAGCCTTGATCCAAAGCCAGGTTTTCAGAAAGGCTCAATATTAATTTAACCCTCCTGCCACTGAAGTAAATGAAAAAACTGCTGCTAATGGCAGCTGAAATAGATTTAGGCCTTCAGCAAAGACTATAATATTTATAATATTTATAATATTCAAATGTGTGTAATATTCACAGTTCTCTTCCTCAAGGACATTGAGCTGCTCTGCTGTTGACATTGGTACCAGGTCAGTGCTGGCCCAGGTGCTCAGTGCAGCTTTGCTGTAGCAGTTTCAGAAACCCCTCATGCTGAATATCCTCAGGATGCTGTAACTTGGCCCAAACAAGCAAATCTTTCCTTATTTTCCATTACTGCAGAATGACTGCTGGTCTTGTGTCCAAGCACTGTAAAATAAACTGAGAGAGATTATACCTAAGCTGGTCTTCTCCTCACTGCATTTTCCCTCCTCCTTTGACTCTGTAGATGGAAATCAGGGTGGCTACTTGAGTGCACAGTAATTCACTGGCTTTTTACATGGAGAGTAAACACAGTGAACTTCTGTGAGAATTATAAATACATAATTAAACAGCAGAATTTGAATTTAAGACCCAAATACACTTACATTTTTGCTTACTATCTGCAGAAATATGATTCGATGTTTCCATGCCATTGATTCATAAGGAATTTTTGTGGGAAAAATGCAAGCGAAAATTCAAATTAAAATATTATACATATATTTTTTCTATAAATTAATCTGGCTAAATAAGGCTATTAATAATTAGTTTTCAGTAGTTTTATTAATTTTAATCTGAAGGAAAGGGAAATTTACTTTTTTTACCTCATGCTGAATCTCAAAATTACTGCTATCTAAAACATGATCACATAATTTTTATTTCAGGGCAGCGCAGATTTGTACTGAATGAGAAGTGGTTGATGGAGGCATCTGTTGAACAGGATCTTTGTAGGGATTCAACTGCCTCTGGTCATGGTTGATAAGAGTTAAAGAAGGGGTGATCTGATTCATTATCCCAGCCTTTTCAAATCCTAAATGGGCATTTCATACAATCTCACCACTCTTTATACGAATGTATTTTCTTCAAGTCTGGAATGAAAGCAAATTCTGAAGTGGTGTAAAAGAGTAGTCAGGGGCAGTTCACTTCTATTACCTGGAGTGAAATCTCCTCTCCAAGAGTGAATAATTCCCAATTTATTTCATTTTCTGGAGAGGAACATAGCAGCTTCCTTCACAGATCCAATAATCACATGACTCAGACAATCCTGCATTGAAGACTGAATTTAGACAATGCTGAATTTCTTCCTAAATGGAAGACAGAATGCTTTCCTTTTCCCCAGCACCTAAGGAGGGTTGCAGAGCCATGCAATCACAGTCTAAGCTCTATTTTTCCAATCATGTCTGGCTGTGCAGCCGTACCAAAGTTGTCAGCCTTGTAACAAAGATTCACACAAAACTATCCAGACCAGTTCATAAAACCTTCAATTAATTTTGATTAGCACCTCACTCTCAAATGGCTCTGTCTAAATCTCAACAGATTTATTTGTGCTGTTGTCTTTGATAGAAATAAACCGAGAAACTGTGCCCCCAGTGCTGTCAGTTCACTGAAACACTGGCCGTGGTCTTGTAGGAACTGGAGAGTTTTGGAAAGGTTTTAGTGTCCTGCAAATATTCTGCTATGGATCTCCTTTTTGGACACCCATAACTAGTGTGTGGAGGCTGAAAAAGTAGCACCTTAATTTGGATTCTCCCCTTCTCTAATTCTGTTTCTATTTCTTGGCATCATTTTCTAGTAGCCACAGTTGCTCTCTCCTTCTGGTCGTTGCTAATCTCATCTATTTTTCATAATTTCTCTTTTCCTTGTATATGCATTTTTCCCTCATCTCTGAGCTGAATATTAAGCTTACTGTATGATTTTATACTCTCTTGTAGATTCCTCTCACCAGCAGAGTATACAATGCAGTATTAAGGTTTTTCCACTATGTCAAAAAGGCCAATTTGTATTACATCCCTTATGCAAACACCCTCTGTCGAAGCTTTGGCCTTTCTCTTTTTCATAGCTGAAAATTATGCTGAATATATCAGAATAGGCAATGTTTGCTCTCTTTCAAACTGTTTTATCTATTGTTATTCATTTGCATATACACTTAGTTGATTTTTCTTTTATTTTTCCTTTATTTTCTTTTTCCAGGGACTTGCAGCATTAATTGCCTTCAAATTTTATGTAACAATTTGCTGTTAGCATCAATAAGATGCAGTGTAAGCTGCTGCAAATCCTGCTTCAAACAGGACATACGCTGCCTCTGAGATAAAGAGTTTTCTGTTGACAAAATGCATTCCAATATAAGAGATGAAATTTAATTATATGGAACTGCAAACAGGAGCTGTAGCATTTCAGTCCATGTGATTATTAATAGAACTAATACTGCTCAGCAAAATCGGAACACTGGTAGAAAGAAATTCAAAAGTTTAAAAAAAAACACCAACAAACCTTTATTTTAAAGTTTTGTTGTTCATTTTCTCTTTTCCTCCTTTTCTTCTAGTCTGACACAGAGTTTTGGGATAAAATGCAAGCAGAATGGGAAGAAATGGCTCGCAGAAACTGGATTTCAGAAAACCAGGAAGCACCAGGGCAAGTCACCATCTCAACCATCGAGAAGGTAACGCCAAGTTTTTTATTGCACTGCATCTCCCCTGTGCAAAGTTGAGAGGAGCCTCAGCTCTTCCAGGGAGCCCAAGGAAACTCTTTGGACATGGAAGCTAATTTTACCCCAAAGAGCTCATCCTCTTTAATTGCCTGTGGGTGGGGCAGATTTAGAAGAACCTTGCCACAGTGAGAATTTGTTTAGACTTGCACACAGCCTAAATTCAGCTGTAAGGATCACAAAGCAACTGCTGGATTTATGGCCACTTTTGAAGAAGGGCATTTAAGGAAAAGCACCAAATGAAAATATGGTGGGCCGAATCTCCATAATTTCTATTCTCGACATTCAAACACTGTTGAAGATAGAAATTATGGACATTCCGTCTCTTCATTCCTTCCACTCCATATTTTCCAATTTTAATTTGATTTCTATAATGTAGCTGATATTACCACACACCCTTTGCACTGCAGTGACAGGAGAGAAAGGCAAAACTTAAAGGAATACTAAAATAAACTCAGGTGCTTGCAGCCCTGCTCTGTATCTGGAAGGTTAATTGAAGATTTCAGGATTTTAACTGAGCAGTCAGGATGTTGTGAGCACTGCAGGGAGTTCAGCTGCTTAGTGTGTGTTCTTTACCATCACCTTGGATGTCCTGGGCTCAGAGGTTCGGTTCTGCTCCTACTCAGGCACTGTGAGTTGTTGACATTATCTTTGCTGGAGAGCCCAGTATAAGTGCCTCTAAGTAGAACTTCAGAGCTAAAGTAAAAACAAAGAGAGCAGAAACATAAATGCCCGGAGATGTGACTTTTCACACTTTTTGTCATTGAAATTCCACGGGGGAGCTCCGCCATTTCCACAGAACAAAGGTTGTTTACACCCAGTTGGAAAACAGTGAGTCATTGCATTTTTTTAGACTTGTCATTCCCTGCAACTTGTCATTCATCACGGGCCCATTATCTCTGTTCTCCAGGGTTATTATTTCCACACTGACAATCCCTTCAAAGACTGGCCTGGTGCTTTTGAGGAAGGACTGAAGAAAATGAAAGAAGGTGACCTGCCTGTTACAATCTTATACCTGGAGGCTGCAATTCTCCAGGAGCCCAACGATGCCGAGGTATTCACTGCTCTGCCTTTTCCTGGCAAAGGAAAAAGGAGCTTCCTTCAGCATGGAATGATGGAATGGGTTCAAACCTTTGCCAGTCATGACTGACTGAAACACTGGATTCTAAGGGTTGTTAATTAGTGTGTGCCTTTAAATAGATATCAATGAGTTTTTCGTAGGATGAGAATCTGGTTTTGAAATATTGTTGTTTGAAATATTTCAAACAGTCCCTTCATATCATGATGATTTCAAAATATCTTGTAAACACTGCTATCAAAAATATTTTATTTTTGATTTAACAAGACTTTTGAAATTTTGTTAAAGTTATATAAATTTCTTCAATGTTGCTATTTTCAACTAGTTTAAAGTCTGTTTCATGTGAAATGTTAAAAATATTTATTATATATATATATGTATATATATATAGGGCTCTTTGAATCTACTGCTACATTAAATTAAACAGCATACTTCAAAAAAGCAGACAATCCCAAGCTCCCTAGAAACCCCTAACATAAATAATACACAATTAAAGAATTCTTCTCTATTTTCCATAAAATTGTAGTAAAATTTAAAATGTACAGTAACTCAAATTTAAGAAATCAACATGTGATTATACACTGACAGAATACCCATGCATTCATTGTCTATAAATGTTTATTAGGCCCAAAGATATTCAGAAGTGCATTGATTGGGACTGCTGGTGTGCACACTGTAGAGAAATCTGTGGTCAGTGCTGGACATTATCTGGTGCTTTTCCTCACCCCTGTGTTTAACAGTGATATTGGTTGTAACTCTGTTTGCAGTTGGATATATTTAATAAACTAAATGATTATTATTTTTGCAGGCCTGGCAGTTCCTGGGTATAACACAGGCAGAAAATGAAAATGAGCAGGCAGCCATCGTGGCCCTTCAAAGGTAGAGGGACATCAGTCTGAAATCTGGGATCTGATGAATGCTGGGTAGTGGAGACCTGGGGATATTTAATATCATTCCTATCTTGGAATGTCGTTTTATTTATCAGAGTAGAGCACTGACACAGATATAGAAACTCCCAGTGACTTCAGAGGGATGACTAGTGATTAATATTTCTGTTTTATTAAATAAGTGCAATATTTCATGGAGTACATTTAGTACAATTTAAGTATATGCACAAAAGAAAAGTTGCATGGCCTAATAAATATGAGTTAAGCATGATGCAAATGAAGTGCCTTTTTTACATTCCAGCCACTTGGCATATTTTCTGTAGTCTGTCCTTTAATGAAGAGGTTTTCTTAATTAGAGTGAGCTCCCTTCAGCTGCTGAATGCTAAACTGCCAACATTTTTAGGTTGGTGGAGATGTGAAGATCACTGAATTCTTGTACATAAAATGTGAGCTCCAAAATATCAGCATTATTTTTATTATCTTTCTTTAATGGGTTTTTATGTTTCCATTTGAAGCAATATTCAATTGCATCACCACTGATAACCGTGAAGTTATTTCACCTAAGGATACTCAAGCTTGGTTTTATGTCTCTTATTCATTTACCTGGATAGAAAATCCAAGAGGTTGCTTGATGTAGGAGCTTGCTCATCCTCAGCTTTCAAAAGAGCAACAGTGATGATTGTGATTTTCTTCACATGGATTATTACACACAATTCAAGCATTGTGCTTGGCTGCAGAAATATCTCAATATATTTTTTATTTTCTACCTAGGTGCTTGGAACTGCAGCCAAACAACCTGAAAGCCCTGATGGCCCTGGCTGTGAGTTACACCAACACTGGCCATCAACAAGAAGCTTATCAATCCCTGAGGAACTGGATAAAGCAAAATCCAAAATACAAGTATATAGTGAGAAGCAAAAAAGGGTCCCCAGCACTTACCAGGAGGATGTCTAAGACAGCAGATGAAAGGTAAATGCAGTGGAAATCCTCATGGTGGAAATACTAATGATATCCCTAGAGCTGATGGTGCCTGCTGTGTCCCCTTGTTCTGTAGAAGTCCAGCCTGCTCCCTAGGATGGAAGAACATGTCTCTAATAGCAGGAGAGGGAAACCAACAGGGAACATTTGATTTAATGACTGAAGGCTTTATTGTTTACACCATCCCTGGAAGTTAAAAAAACTCAAAAAAACCCAACCAACCAACCAACCAAAAAAAAAACAGCTAAAAAAGGATGCTTCTCCTCAACTCCCATTACTTTCCTCCATCCCTGTCTCCTGCCTTTGTATTCCCACATCCTGCACCCTCATCCTTCAGCTGCTTCCACATCCATACTAAGCTTTTATCCAGCTCTATATGTGTGGTTTTTTCCTACTGTTCCCACTGTTTCCCATGTCCCAACCCAGTAGAATCCAGGAATGAGCCGTTTTGCAGTGCAACATGAGCTCACTGAGAATAATGAGAGGTGGCACCTGCTTGTTTAAAAGCTGTTCTGATTCTAACCAAGAGACAACACAGCCATTTGATTTATCTTCAGCCACCTTAAATAACATAAAATTCATGATTTGGCAGCACTTCATCATGATTTCATGAGGACAATAAACAAGTACCTCTAGACTGTGAGATGCATAATAAAGTCATTAAAGGCATAAACATGATTTAGGGAGCCAAACCACTCAAGCTATCTCACTGCTTGTCATTTTGAAGACAGGCCTTATGTTTTACCCTCGTCACTTACAAGTCCTGGGTTGACAAGATAATTTCATATGAGCAAAAATAAAATATGCAAGTTCTGCTTAATTGCTGAGTGTGTTATTCTACTTTGGCTTTATCCCACTGACATCTGGTGCTGTTAGTGCAAAAGTTTTAAGAAGCTACAGTGGGCACAGAAGTCATGTTTTGGCATCTTTCTTCAAGGGTCTTGGCAGGTCCTTTACCTATTCCTCTTGAAAATACTACTACTTTTGTTAGTAAAGAACTGTTTTATGTCTGAGAAACTCATCTAATTTGCATAGTTTTAATAAAACTTCATGTCATTCTACTTGGGTTCACGGCTGTCCTTCGACCTCATTTCATAAATGAACTTCTTTTATTTCAAGAAGTTTTATTTTATTTTCTTTCTTTTATTTTGTGAGTTTACAACAGCACCCTGAAGTAAACCTTTGTCATGATGAAGAAACTCATTTGCAAATTTCAGGAGTGTAACACTTCTGATGAATCTGCTACAAAGATTTTCATTTCAGGCTATGCAATCAACATTGAAATATCTGTAAATAACTGTATGATCGCTCTTTAAGTTATTTTTCTCCCTTGTCTAGCTCATTACTTGAAGAAGTAAAGGATTTGTACCTGGAGGCTGCTCACCAGAATGGTGATATGATAGACCCTGACCTACAGACAGGACTTGGGGTTCTTTTTCACCTGAATGGAGAATTTAACAGAGCAATAGATGCATTTAGTGCTGCTTTAACTGTTCGACCAGAGGTACATTTTATACTTCTACATTTTTAAAAATTAAGCTTTACAGGCCAATTCCTTTTCCCTGTCTGGATCAGACTATTATTAATGACATGTTACTTCTGCCATTAAAATTTTAAGACCCAAAATAGTAATGTTAATTACAAGACAGCCCTGTTTAGAAGCAGATTTATGCATGTCCAATTCCTACCTGTGTGCTGATTAATGGTATTAGATATATAAAATTGCCAAATTGCCTTTGATCCTGAGTCAGAACCTCACATTCCTTGTCAATTACAATACAAAAAATACTATTATTTTCAGCAGTCCTCCTTCCTTTTCAAGCAAAGATGAGATGTTATGTCTGGTTTTTGACACCTACAGTAGAGAACTCCTTTTCTCACCAGGACTACACGTTATGGAACCGCCTTGGGGCAACCTTGGCCAACGGGGATCGCAGTGAGGAAGCTGTGGAGGCTTACACACGAGCTTTGGAAATACAACCTGGCTTCATCAGGTCCAGATACAACCTGGGGATAAGCTGCATCAACCTAGGGGCATACAGGTGAGCATGAAAAATGTGTAAACAAAAATCAGGCATCACAACTGCCAAGTGAAGATTCATTCTCAAGCTGGAGGTATCTAAGAAAAAATAATCAGAATATTGCTACATAATCTCAGCTATTGTGAAATGGGCTCATAAATTTCAACAAAGAACTAAAAAGCATTTTTGTAGCTCTGAGTGCAAGTACTTTTATAATCAGTGGGATTGTTCTTGCACTTAAAATAGTCCTGCTTGTAAGAGCTTTTGTAAAAGAAAATGTAAGAGCCTGTCTTTAAAAGGGAAACTCGAGTTAACTTGCTTCAAGTAGTTCATGCCATCAAAAACATCCTACAGGAATGAAGGTGATATTCCAGGGTCCCAGCTGTCATAAGACAGGGAAGATGAAGGGGAGCTTTGCTGCAATGCAGACAGTACCCCCAAATGTTTGGGTAGACTGAGTTTTGTGTTACCCCAAGCCACACCCTCCTTCTTGACGAAAATCCAGCAAGAACAACACAAAGGGACTGATGAACTAAATTGTAAAATAACCTATTTAAGCCTGGCATGGAACTTCAGAAATTTTGCCTGTAGTTGTTAAGCAAATTATATTGTTTGTTTCTTTTTTCTTCTTCTTCTTCCCTACAGAGAGGCTGTCAGTAATTTCCTCACTGCTCTCAGTTTGCAAAGAAAAAGCAGAAATCAACAGCAGGTTCCCCACCCTGCTCTATCAGGCAATATTTGGGCAGCACTTCGGATTGCTCTGTCTATGATGGACCAGCCAGAACTATTTCAAGCTGCCAATGTGGGTGATCTAGACATTCTCTTAAGAGCTTTTAATCTAGAGCCGTAATAAAAAGGATTCAAAAATTGATTAAAGTGTAATAGGAAACAGAACTTTTTTATTACTCATCCCCAAATGACCGCATTTTCCAAAAGATCATGACTGTAGATCAGTAGGGGAATTCCTTCAGACATTATTCATAAAGGGAAAGTTCAAAAGCACAAAAATAGTGTGAATAAATTCAAACTCAAAGGGTTGAAATGAGCTGTGGCTAATTGGACAAAGCCCTGAACTAGATGAAATAGCAATTTCTGAAGAATTTTCATCCCATGCAAGCTATATCTCTCTATATACATACAGCTGTAAAAAGAAAAGTATCTTAAGAAGAACCCTAGATAATGGTTATTGCAAGTTATTGCACATTAGAATGGCAAGCAGTGCATCCAAGGAACCTGCTTAGTAGCTCATTGCACCATGCTGACACCACTTTGCCCCACAGTGGGGATTCCTTATCCTTTGGTTTCTTTGATGAAAAATCTTCTCAAGGTCCATTTTTAACACTGCTCTGAAAACAGATGCATGTAAAAAGGATGTGTTTTGTTTTGAATATATTTATTAGCTGGAAATCAATTTTTTGCTTCCAAAGGTACCTGGATTAATTTGGGCCCAGTTGTGCAGGCTCATAAGCCCTGTGCAATGTCAAGAGGAACACAGTCCATGGAGGACTATGGGATGAGGCCAGGTACATTTGGGGAAGCCAAGTGTTGCCAGCAGAAGAGGCAATTTGCCCTGGAATTGTTGATGTTCAAACCAGGTGTCCTTCATCTGGGACAGTCTGAAGGAGCTCGTGGCAGGGTCTGCACTTTCTGTGTACTTATGCACTTTAATCTTTCTTTTTGTAAAATAGTGCTATGCTTTTATTTTAGTCACCAACAATGGAATGTACAGGATCGCCTTGTTGGCAGAGAGGACCAAATGTAATTTCCTGAAATGTAATGAAAGGGTTTTCAATATTCTTATGTTTAAAAATGCAAATACAGCATAAACTGCATTAACAACTAGAAAGATTATTATATGCATCCAGCAGGTACTACACATATACATGCATGTGCATGCACATACATGTTGTATGCAAATGATGTCATTTCAGAACATAACAAACTCTCAGATCTTCATTGCAAATGAAGAAGAATATTTGTAGGAGTTACTGCCTGCAGACCATGCTCAAGGGAAAACTTTCCCTAAAGAAACCAATCTATATAAAGCTTGTGGGATTGAGACCAAGGCTTGATCCTGCTGTTATGGCAAACGGCAGCAAAGTCTCCACGACCTCCATGATACCAGAGAAAATCCTTCAGTGACACCAGTATGTGTAGCTGCTTACAAATGTGTATGTAAACACACTGTCTTCATTTTCCCTGGCTGGATGAATGGGGAGCAGGGTTGGGGCAGTACCAATCCCTGATGAATGGATTGATTTAGCTACAATCAACATTTAGCTCAGGGTGAATGCGTCAATCAAAGAAGGAAGAGAAATTTTTAGGAGGTGATTTTCAGTTGCTGATATTATAAATATTTTTCTTGAATAGTGAAAGATAAGAAATGTTAATTAGATGTGTTGATCTGTGGTCAGGAATTCAATGTGCAGAGCAGCTACTGGAATATGTTAAAGTGGGACAAATAGCACATTTCCTATAAACAACATTAGAAGAAAAATCTAGCTCAGAGGGATAAAAAAAGAAATCCAACTGCACAGATCACAGAGAAGGATGCTCTGTGGGAGTTGGACAGTTTTACCAGTACAAACCTAAAGTTTCTTGCAGCTGTCTGTTATTTTGAGCCACCACTTAAAGGAAAATTCCATGTAAAACAGTGTAATCACTGCATCTAATCACCATATATAGGTTGTTAAATAAAAATAATTGTCATTAGAAAAATAAAAGGCTTAACCCTCACTTTCTCCCACTCAATAGAGATGCCAAAACAGCTACTGAAATTTTTTAAGAGTGCTTTATTAATTCATTGTTTACACATATATTCCTGTTTATCTGTCAGGTGTTTCATAACTGATTCCTGCAGCTTTCTCTGAGGATGGGACTGCCTGGGAATGTCACTTTAGCTAAGTGGGCTGCTGTATGCATATCTGCTGACAACAGTTTGCTCTTTTGCTTTGACAGCGATGTGTGATGACAGCTCTTTATTGATAAGGCAGAGCAGAAGGTGCAGTGCAATTGAATCTGGGAAGTGATAAGAGAGAGGGGAGGCAGCTTTGAGAAGAGGCTGTAAAGCAAAGGCATATGTGCTTAGATTTTGCTTGATGCCCTGCCATCACACAAGTTCTAGAATATCCTTTGTGCTGTGGTGTAGGACAACCAGTGCTTACCCAGAGGAATTAGCTGTTCAGGGACTTTATTTTTATATCTTTGAAATTAACAAAAAAAAAGTACTTCTCAGAGTCAGAATGACAAGGGTTATTTGATTCTCATGGCAGTTCACTAAAGATCTCCTCCAGCCTGTGGATGAGTAACACAGAAATCATGAGGAAAACCTTATACAAGTCCAAGCCTTCTAAAAGAACAGACTAACTAGGTAGCTTTTGATTTATCCTGGGATGCACTGCTCAAAACTACATTTATCTGCTGATTTATGTCCACACCCATGGAACTGGCATGAGTTGTATCTGTAACCTTCAGACAATTCTGCAGGACTGAGCTCTGCCTTCCCAGGGGAGACTCAGCCCCCAGCCCATCTCAGCTCTGCTGTACAGGACATGAGCTACAAAGCCTGTCCAAAGAGGTGCACAGCCTTGGAGATTATCCCAGCTACTCTTTCCTCTTGTCGGTAGCCTATGGCCAATCAGCCATGTGCCACTGACCGAGGCACTGGGAAAGGCTAAAGCAGGGCAGGTGACAGGGGACAGCGGCACATCTCACACAGTTCTGGGCTGGTCAGTGTGGGGGAGTAGCTGGAGATTGAGCTCACCTCACTCTAACAGCAACTCTTGGGACTTCTGGGCACTTCCTTAGGACCCTGGGCTTTATTGTGCTCCTTTAGCCCCCTCTGCCAAGCACTGTCAGTGCAGCAGACAAGATTAGATACAGCTTTGAGCTGACCTCCTCGTGGTGTTCCTTAAATATTCAGGACAAGTTTGTATATTTGCCTGAAAGAAGCAAGATGAAACATGTGAGGAGGCTGCAGCATATTAACAACCTGAACAGAAAATTCAGCTACTTTTGCTTCTAACCAAGCATGAGGTGGGATAAATAAGGCGGGTGCTGAACAGTAGCAGATTGAGCCTGAGAGTGAGAGACAGCAAATCTGGGTCCTGTTCTCAGCACTCCCTGGTAGCTCGACCAAGTCAAAGCCTCCTGCCATCCCTGACTTGCCCAGGTGTGCAAGGAAGGAAGATGGGAAGCAGCATTCCTTGCACTACCTGGGAGCAGGGGAGTATCGCTGTGTCACACTGCAGGGCGAGGGCACGTCTCCCCTGGGCAGGAAGGTAACACAAACACAAGGTTGCTCAGCTCTAGGGAAGCAGTTTCACATACAGACTACTGATTTCAGTAGAGGAGAGACTCAGACATTTCAGGATGCTGTAGAGCATCTGTGAGGTGAGGCCCAAGTAGGGTGCTGCAATGGTGTATCACCATGTCCGACCTCTGTTTCCCTTTCTTGTTACTCCTCTCTTTTTCCAGAGGTGATTTATCACTGCCAGGTAACTGATTCCAAGTTTCTGAATCTTTTTTTTTCCATTTTATATTTCATGCAATTTTAAAAAAAGTTTTCCTAACCCCAGCTTGGGATTGTCCTCTGCAAACTTTAGGAATAATTATGACCTAGAAGCCTGATCCATCAAGCTGCTGTAAGCCTGGAGCCTCACAAGAGTGCTCAGCACTTTTCATGATCAGTTCACATGCAGGTATTACCAGGAGAAGGCTGGCTCTGGTACCACTGCACGTGCTGAACAGGCACTGGAATCACAGTTTAGGGAGTGAGGCTTTGCCATGAAGGCAAAAGGCTCATTTCTGGCTGACCTCTTTAAACTGGAATGACCACAGGAGCCTTGTGGCCACACACTGGTTTATGTCAGCTTGAAGAACTGACTTGACTTTTAGGCACACACATAAACGTATCTGTGTCTGGTGGCATTTTCTTATGATTTGATAAATCACAGCACCTGTAAAAATATTCAGGGGGTGGTTCAAATGACACAAAACCTCATATGACAATATTGCATGCAACTACATTAACCAGTAAGCACTATGCAATATTAACCCTGAGCATGCAGCAATGCTACCTGAGCATGTGTTTAGAGAATGCATGCAGAAGGCTCACACGTAGGGTATTCTTAAACTCCTGATTCATATCATCTGTGGAACATTTTACAACTCCTTTGCATCTGCCAGACTCAAATCTGAGTTGTTCATATTATCTGGAACGGGCTAGACCAAAGGCAGAGCCCTTTTAAAATCCCATCCTTAGAATTCACCTTGTTTTGTGGGTTTCATGTTTGCTCCAAGTGCTTAATTAATAACAGACATCTGTATAACGGCCTTTGCAGACATGTTTTAGTACCCTCTCAAGAATTAAAAAGCTAAATTTGCACAGCTTTCACAGTGAAGCTGGGTTGTTTGGATTTTCACATTTTCATCTCTAGTTTCAACCACAGAAGAGCCAGCTATCCCAGAGCATGGGCCTCCATGGCAGAAATAACAACTGCTGTCCTTGCTGGCACAGCCAGAGCCTGAGGCCTAAATCATTGTCTGTTGGAGCCAGTGGGAAATGGAGCAAAGCATAAATTGGTTGTAGATCTCTTTTGCCCAAACATGCATCTGCAAAACGAGACATATTTGTTATTTTCGCATGAACTACCTGCACAGTTGAAAAAATGTGATTTCTGGTCACAAGTGTTGTCAGCTTAGCAGTCTGTACAGTGAATTTATGTAATAAATGTTAATAATATACCAAGTATTCACAAAAATGGTAAGACCAAATGCACTGCACGTTGTGAAAAAATAATGGTGGATATGCAATACAGTATTATCTACTATTCAAACCTTACCTAGGCTAGAATCAGATTCCTTCATTATGGTTCTACTGA